TTAATAGAATCCCGAGTTCTGCTGAACTTTAAACCAAGATTGAAGACCCTTCTGTTTACCTCCTTCTGAATCCTCCAGAACTTTTCTGCTACAGTCAACTTAAAACATTAGCATGGAGAAGGACATGGATGGTTTCTCTTTCTTTATGGATCATATCTTGTCCACAGACTTCTTTTTTGATGTTATCTTTTTAAATAATACAACTTTTTCAAGTGTTACATTTTTATTGCTTTCCATGATTTTCTTATTCTAGCTGCTTTCATTCATAATGAATATACCTTTAAAGGAACTACCTGCAAATATGGCAAGTAGTATAAAACTACTTTGATTTTAATGTTAACTTATTTAATGTAATAATGTTTAATGTTAATATACAAATGTGTAATGATTTTTTTTTAATTAATTTACTTAATTTTTGGCTTTGCGGGGTCTTGGTTGCTGTGCTGGCTTTCTCTAGTTGCAGTGAGCAGGGGCTACTCTCTAGTTGAGGTGTGCAGGCCTCTCATTGTTGTCACTTCTTTTTTTGCAGAGCATGGGCTCTGGGGGCAGGTCAGTAGTTGTGGCACACAGGCTTAGTTGCCCTATGGCATGTGGAATCTTCCTGGACCAGGGATCCAACCCATGTCCCCCACCTTGGCAGATGGATTCTTAACCACAGAACCACAAGGGAAATCCCTGTAATGATTCTTTATAAGTGGATTGATGACCAAGCTGTATGGTTTGTGGGATATTAGTTCCCCCACCAGGGACTGAACCTGGGTTCTTGATAGTGAAGGTGCCAAGTCCTAACCACTGGGCTGCCAGGAAGTTCTCTTTGTAATTGTATGTGAACATATATAGTCAACAATTTTGCAGTATTTACATGATTAATCTCCTTTCTTGTCCTTTTCTAATTTTTATTTCATGTTAGTTTTCAGTACTCCTACTTCAAGGTGGATTGGGCAGGATAATAGGAAAAAGTGTTAATATTAAATTTTAAAATTTACTGTCTGTAAGTATTTGCATGCTAATCCTATCTGGATAAACAAGCCTTATTCTTATTTAGGATGCATTGAAATAGAGTGTTGCAAATACTTTTATGATTTGCCATCAAACATCTGTTTCATTTCTTTGGTACTTTCTTTAAATATCCTGCTCATTGTTTAGGAAAAGCAAATGTTCAATAAAGTAGTCACAAAATATGCACTTGTCTCTACCCTGATATCCTAGTAAAGTTCTATGTTTGGAAAGATCATTTTTAAACAACTGAACTACGAATGCAGTCTTATTTTGGTAGATCCTAAATGTTGTTTCTTTTTTCTTTTCTTTTTGATTATAGGCCTACTTGTTTGAGATTTACATAAACTGTTGACAGTCATGTGCAAATCATATGTATTTGGTGGCAAACCTCACTGCATTCCAAGATGATTTGGGGGGAGCAGCAATTTAACTTAAAAGGAAATTTACAATTCTTTTACCACAAATAAGGTCTACATTTTCAGCCTTTAAATTATGCTTAATTATAGTTTAATGAAATTGTGAACTATAGAGGAAAAAAGATGTAAACATAATTTAAGTATATGCATTTTAGCTATGGGCTTTTTTGCCTGCAGATATAAAAATAGAATTCAGATCTTTTAGTATCCATGTAGTTTTCTAGATTGCATATGAAAGCATAAACACAGCTATATTTGTAAAGAGTGTCTCAGATGACATAAAGCACTTTTTTTGTGACAGAAGGGGGAAAATAATAAATTTTAATAACTCTGATTGGAAAAAATTAATTCATTAAAAAATATTAGTTGCCAAAGTGAGAAGACCTTGATATAAACTACTCTAATCCACCTCCAAAATATGTATGTTATTAAAATTTCAGAGAGTGAAGAAATATCTCTTTTAAGAGAAATCTTTGAAAAAGAGGATGTATTAATTTAATTTTAATAGTAAATTGTCATTGATTTATTAAAAAATTTGTCAGTATAGAGAATTCAGCCAACTTGATAACACAGCCAACTGTGTTCTTACAATAATTACTGGTGCTAAATTATGTGCATAGGAGGGGTATTGATTATTTCATATATATTAATATAACCAATGGCCAATCCAAGCATTATCCCCCCAATAAGACAGAACATGTTTCTGCACAAATTATAAGTGTAATTATAAGTAATAATTAAATTTTTCAATTTAAAAATTCCATGGAACTTAAAGGCATAGTTACATAATATGATGATATTCCCCATCACATGCACTGTATATATTCGAAGGAAATCATGTTTGTCTTTGTCTTGAAAGTGAAGTTGCTCAGTCGTGTCCAACTCTTTGTAACCCCGTTGACTATAGTCCTTCGGGCTCCTCTGTCCATGGGATTCTCCAGGCAAGAATACTGGAGTGGGTTGCCATTTCCTTCTCCATTTCAGCTTTTGCAGAAGCATTGTTGAAATAGCTGGGTTTCAAAGAATGAAAAACCTGCTTTACGAACCATAACTACAACTTGTTACAATTATGGGAGGTATTTTAACAAGAAAATAGGTATTCTTTAATCCTAACCATATTCTCACTAATAAATAACCCTTAACATTATGTTTTGAATTCTGGAAGTTACTTAGAGTGTATTATTTAGTTGCATTTGATCGGTTGAAATACGTATTTTGAGTTACATAACTACTAAATGACGAGTTGCCGCAATTACTGTAATTGCCATTGAGAAACAGGGGCAAAGAGACATATTTGCAACCGAAATAGCTTTGTGCACAGTAGATGTGTTAGTCATCTACTGTTATGTAAGAAATCCCCAGAAACCTGCAATTTTTGCAAAACTTCCCTGGTTTGCTTTCAGGTGTGAAGCTCAGAAATTCAGTCCTGGGAGACTGGGCTTTTTCTCTGAGTTTTTACAAGAGGAAAACCAAGGCATCAGCCTGATCCAATTTCCTTTCTGGAGAATAGTAGAGACACTGCCTTGGATTCATCCAGGTCTATTGAGGCTTCAGGATGGAGCCCCCTCTTATTCAGTACCCCTCAGCTGCTCACGTCCTGAGCACCTGATCGGGCAATCTCTTCTTTTTCCAAGGCCCGCAGCACAGAACTCCCCCTACAGTCTCTTTCATACTTTGAATTTCTTAAGATCAGGAAGCGCCCAGCTTCTGTTTAGGGCTTTTCCTATTTAGGTTCAGCTCCCCCTATAATTTAATTTCTAATCAATTCGGAGTTAACTGATCTGATCATGGGAGTAATGCTCCGTCCTTTACACAGTTTCTAGTTGAAATCAAGGCAGGGGCTCATGCACACATGACGGACCCAGGGTGGCGGGGGAATCACCTTAGTGTCTGCCTTCCAGAGCGAGAAGCGAGGTCATTGGTGTGAAATCATGGGCAGAGCGAATGAAGTTTAAATACTGAAGAGGCAGTTGGGCACTAGAAGTCCATTCCATTGGTTAAAAGGGAATTAAGATTAGTAGATACCCAAAACTGTGTTTAAAGAGATAAACAACAAGGGCCTACACTATAGCACAGGGCGCTGTATTCTATATCTGCTAATTACCCACAGTGGAAAAGAATCAGGAAAAGAATATATAACTGACTCACTGTGCTATATACCTGAAACTAGAAACTAACACAGTACTGTAAATCAATTATATTGCAATTAAAAAAAGAGAGAGAGAATTAGGGTTTGGAAGTGAAAGAACTGAAGAGGAAAAGGCAGAAAACTATAATAGAAAGAAAAAAAGAAGAGAGAAGAAAAATGTAATTTAGTATTAGAATGTCATATGACCTAAAAGGCCTTAGACAAATCTGTATTGCAAAGTTTGATGAAACATATCTAAAAGGAGTCAATAAAATGAGGAATGTTTCATATTTCCACAAGCAGCTATATGTATGTTCAGCCTGGAAATTAGAGGACAAATAAAGGGGAAATGGTGCTTACAAAGTAATGATACTCTTCTCTCTGTATAATACCACAAATACAAAATTCAGTCTTATGAAGCATATCTCTTAGTTATGACAGCAATTAAGGTATTGGTATAGTTTAAAATTACTGTCCTGATATTATGAGTATATCCAAGTTGAACAAAAAAGTGTCAGGTATGTGCCATGCACATTACTTTGTGTTCACGGTCCAGTTCAAGCCTTTTAACTTGTTTTAGAAATTGAATTAAAGATTGTTTTAAAGGTTTTGTGTTTTTGTGATTTTTGTTTGTTTTTGTTTTGTATTGTTTTGTTTTTACTGAGATTTAGCAGACTTAATGGATTGGATCTTCATGACCTGAAAGGGCACAAATATCTTACTTCTTAGATTTTGTTTTTGTAGATAAACAGCTGCTCATTTCCCAAATATCAGTCATGTGTTTCCCCTCAATATCAACTCTTAAATGGGTGGACATAAGAACAATTTTGTCTCTGTGCACTTGTGTATAAAATAGATAACCAACAAAGAGACCTATTATATAGCAGAGGGAACTGTATTCAATATTTTATAATAAAAAAGAATCTGAAAAATATATATATATACCTACATGTATAGCAGAATCACTTTGTTATACACCTGTAACTTTGTAAATCAACTATTTCAACTTGTCTTAACAATACTGATTTTCCTTACCCCTCTTTTCTCCCCAACAAATCTAATCAGAAGTAAGAGATATTATTAACAATGTATTTTGGCATTTCATGATATAAAATGTTGCCATGCCTAATAAACTTGGAAAGTATTTTATAGTGTATTTGCCTCTTAGAAATTTAAAACTTATGTTAGCCTTTTAAAGTCACTGAGAAGCCTTGCAACATTTCTTATAATTTCTTATCTTTCTAGACTGCTGATAATTCCCATACAAGATATTGAGATGGCTGCTTTGACCTCATTTCTTTTTTCAAGGTCATTTAAGGGTTGAGATCATTTAGTAATTACGTTCATGGAAGACTTTGGGCTTGTATCGGATACCTTTTTTTCTGAAGTTATTTTGAAACCCATAATTTTTGAAATCTGTTCTAAGTGTGTGTCTACACTTCTGGTTTTACTTTTAGGTGTACAAGATCCCCAGCATGAGAGAATTATTACTGTGTCTACTAATGGAAGTATTCACAGCCCAAGGTTTCCTCACACTTATCCAAGAAATATGGACTTGGTATGGAGATTAGTAGCAGTAGAAGAAAATGTGTGGATACAGCTCACATTTGATGAGAGATTTGGGCTTGAAGACCCAGAAGATGACATATGCAAGTAAGTTATCATACTTGAAATTCCAGCAAAGTAACAACTGTTAGTTTTTCAAGACGCTTCATTCTGAGGGTGTGATTTTTAAATGCCATCTTTTGTCCTCTTATATTTTTCTGATCATCCAAGAAATTTACATCCTTGTTTAAGCTATGTTTCCATCTACTTCTGAAAATAATTTGAGGTAATATATGGCACAAAAATACATATAAAGTAAAGCAATTTAAAATATAGAATAGAGTAAAACACCAAATAAAGGAATGTAAGTTGTGCCAGAGTGACCATTAGTGCCAAAAATTTTACGTTTAAGCTTCCTCATAACCAAATCAATAAGATAAACAGTAAGCTATTAAAAGAAAAAACAGTATCCATGGATATGTATTACCCATAGCATCCAGTACCTACAGGGAAACACATAAATACACACACACACAGACACACACATGGGACTCCGAAGTTTGAATATCATAAGAAAGAAATACAATTCTGAAAGCAGAATTAGAAATTTAGATTTGCATTATAGTTGACTAGGTAGACATTTGTCATAATTCTCCTAGAAACTTTCATGAACTAAAGTCAGCTGGAGTATTTCACCCATGCAAAAGACCACCTACCGTATGTCATACAAATATTACTCTTTAAATCCTATGTGAATCCACTTGTCAAGGTTGGGTGGTCTTATGGAAGATTTTTCACTTCATTGGCATTTGTATATCATGAAAATATTTTACTTGAGCTTCTTCATGAGGGTCTTTATTTTCCCTTTGATATACAAGTTAAAAGAGAATTTTCGCTTTGTGGTATATTATAGATAAATATTTCAATACAGATAAAATAAACTTTATACTTTACTGTCATCACAGTTTGTATCTTTAACCTTTATATATGTAGTTACTTTTTTTCAATTTCTTCTTTCTGTGGATAGCCGCATTTCAGGTTATTTTTTCCTCTTATGTCTCTAAACTTAAGCCTGGAAAACAAGAAGTTATTCTAGCTATTTTTGGAGATGGTGCTATTCAACCCTTCATTTTATAGATAAGCAAATGGGTTAGAGAAATAAAATAGCGACCCTGCATCTTATTCATAGTTTATAACTCAACACATGCTAAAATCCATTTTCCTAGCAATCACAGAGGTGGTTTTCACCATTCTCTTCTGCACCTCTTGCCTTCTTTTCATGTGGAGTATTACATAATGTTGTAGAAATTGCGGAGTTTAAGATCTGGCCCTCTTTGCAAACTAGCAAGTTAACCTAGAGCAGTCTCATGGACTCTGACCACAGATAGCAGGCTCGAGGTTCTCAGACCAAGGGTGGGTGACGGTAGTGGCAGGAGTTCCATTCCCGCAGGTCAGTGCCAGGAGGGCCATGTTATACCTGGGTGCCTGGCAGAGTGTGTGACCGGAGAGGTGATGTTGTGTGTGTGTGTGTGTGTGTGTATGATGCATGTTAGTAGTTAGATCATAAAAATACACTTGTCCAGAATGCCCTTATAGCCTGTGACTCAATTTCACTCAGTATGAGACTTAAGAAAAGTTAAGAAAGCTGAGCACAGAATTGATGCTTTTGAACTGTGGTGTTGGATAAGGCTCTTGAGAGTCCCTTGGACTGCAAGAAGATCCAACCAGTCCATCCTAAAGGAGGTCAGTCCTGGGTGTTCACTGGAAGGATTGATGTTGAAGCTGAAACTCCAATACTTTGGCCACCTTATGCGAAGAGCTGACTCATTTGAAAAGGCCCTGATGCTGGGAAAGATTGAGGGCAGGAGGAGAAGGGGACAACAGAGGATGAGATGGTTGGATGGCATCCTCAACTCGATGGACATGAGTTTGAGTAAACTGTGGGAGTTGGTGGTGGACAGGGAAGCCTGGCATGCTGCAGTTAATGGGGGAGTCACAAAGAGTCAGACACGACTGAGCGACTGAACTGAACTGAACTCTTCCAATAGTTCTGAAATCCTTTCCCTTTGTACCTCCTTGATGTACCTTTTATTATTCCTGCAAACATAAATCATTTTCCTAATTTTGTAAGCCTGATTTCTCAATTTTTAAAATAATTTTATCATGTGTATGTATCTCTCTATATATTATCCTATAAATTTAAATTTATCTTTATCTGTTTTGAAGTATCTATCAATGTGATTATACTATGTGTTTACTTTTATGAAGATGTGCATGTGAAAACAGCAGAATTCAGCAATATAAGGTTTTTCAAGTTCATGTGGACTCAGAGAGATTGTATCATTTGCCTTCCATGATATACAGTATCCATTATATAATTAGGCATTCTTTCTTTTCTCTTCTGCTTTGATGAATGCTTGGCTTACTTCCAGCTTTTCTTGTCCAAAACTGCAAGAAATCTTTCTTGGCATTTATAGCTAACAGTGGTATTATGTTCTTAAGACATTAATATTTTTAGCTTTATGAGGTAGAGTTAAATTATTTCTAAAAGTGACCAGTTTACAGTTCTACCAACAATATGTGAACTTTATTTTTCTGCATTCTCTCCAACCTTTTGAACTGGTACTCATTTAATTCTGGGTAGAAGGATACGTATAAAATTGCACCTTAATGTAAAATTTTGTTTCTCCTTCCTGCCAATGAGGTTGAAAATGTTTGTATTGTTACTGGCAGCTCAGAAATCCTTTACTGTGAAATGCCTGCTCGTGACTTTTACCCAGATTTTACTGAACTCTTTGGTTATTTAAATTTTGGTTTTCATATTTAAGTTCTTAATCCATCTGTAATTTATTTTGTCTATGTGAGGTTTTACGCTAGGGCATCTGATAGTGTCCTGACACTGTATATTTAGCAGTCACACTTTTCTCCGATGATGTGCAAAGCCAGCTAACTTGCAGGTCAGATTTTGTATCTGATGTGGTCTGTTTCTGGGTTCTCTATTCTGTTCTCTGGCTTTACTGTGTCCATCTGTGTACCAAATTGATACTCCCTTAGTTACAGTAGCATTATAGAAGCCAGGTGATAGGGAACTCACTTTGTTTTCCTCCTTTTAGAGCATCCTCAGTATTTTACTTTTCACTATTTTTTTTACAAACAAGTTCCTTGAAACCTCCTGTTGCAATTTCATTGAAATTGTGTTGCATCTATAGATCATTCTGCAAAGAATTGACATACTTATAGAAAAGAATCTTTCTGTCATTGAGAATTTTATGCATCTGCATCTATCTAGGTATTGTTTTTGTCTGTACAGTTTTAAACTATTCTTTATAGAAATGTGATGAACCATTATTTAGATTTATTTCTGTGATCTCTATGTGGTTGTTCATTTGCTAAGTCATGTCCAACTCTTTGTGACCCCATGCACTGTAGCATGCCAGCCTTCTTTGTCCTCCACTATCTCCCAGAGTTTGCTCAAATTCATGTCCATTGAGTTGGTGGTGCTATCTACCCATCTCATCCTCTGCTGCCCCCTTCTCCTTTTTCCTCCAATCTTTCCCAACATCAGGCACTTTTCTAATGAGTCATATCTTTGTATCAGGTAGCCAAAATATTAGAGCTTCAGCTTCAGCAGCAGTCCTTCCAAAGAATATTCAGGATTGATTTCCTTTAGGATTGACTGGTTTGATCTCCTTGCAATCCAAGGGACACTCGAGAGTCTTCTCCAGCGACACAATTCAGAAGCATCATTCATTGGCNCAAATCTATGGTTTTTCCAGTAGTCATGTATGAACGTGAGAGTTGAACTATAAAGAAAGCTGAGCACCAAAGAATTAAGATTTTCCTTTTCCAGTCCTGTGGCCACTGCTGGGTCTTCCAGATTTGCTGACATAATGAATGCAAAACCTTGATGGCATCATCCTTTAGGGATTTGAATTGTTCTGCTGGAATTTTATCACATCCACTAGCTTTATTAACAGCAGTGATTCTTAAGGCCCACTTGACTTTGCACTCCAGAATGTCTAACTCTGGGTGACTAACCACATCATCATAATAATCCAGTTCATTAAGATCTTTTTTATGCAATTCTTCTATGTATTCTTTCCATCTCTTCATAATCTCTTCAGCATCGACTAGGTTTCTATCACTTTTATCCTTTGTTGTGCCTTCTTTGGGTGGAATGCTCCTCTGATGTTTCCAATTTTCCTGAAGAGATCTTAACCTTTTGTTGTTTTCTTCTATTATTAAGCACTGTTCATTGAAGTAGACCTTCTTGTCTCTCCTAGCTGGTCTCTGGAATGCTGTGCTTAATTGGCTGGAGTTTTCTCTCTCTCCCTTGCTTTTCACTTCTCTTCATTCTTCCACTATTTGCAAAGCCTCCTCAGGTAACCACTTTGTCTTCTTGCTTTTTTTTCCCCCCTTTGGGGTAGTTTTGTTTGCCACTTCCTGTATAATATTATGGACTTCTGTCCATAATTCTTCAGGCACACTGTTAATTAGATCTAGTCCCTTGAATCTATTTGTACCTCTACTGTGAATTCATATGGGATTTGATGTAAGTCCTACCTTGCTGGCCTAGTATTTTTCATGGTTTTCTTTAGTTTAAGTCTGAGTTTTGCTATGAGAAGCTAATACTCTATGTCACAGTCAGCCTCAGGTCTTCTTTCTGCTGACTGTATACAGTTTCTCCATCTTCAGCTACAAAGAATGTAATCAATTTGATTTTGCTATTGACCATCTGGTGATGCCCATGTGTAAAGGAGTCTCTTGTGTTGTTGAAAAAGGATATTTGTTGTGACTAGTACATTCTCTTGGCAGAATACGGTTAGCCTTTGCCCTGCTTCATTTTGTACTTCAAGGCCAAACTTGCCTGTTACTCCAAGTATCTCTTGACTTCCTACTATGACATAAAGGACATCCAGTCCCCTGTGATGTAAAGGACATCTTTTTGTTGGTGGTGGTGGTGGTGGTTCTAGCTGTTGTAGGTCTTTTAGAATCAGTCAACTTTAGCTTCTTCGGCATCAGTGGTTGGGGCATAGACTTGGATTACTGTGATGTTGAATGGTTTGCTTTGGAAACAAAACAAGATTATTCTGTCATTTTTTAAATCG